GGTGTAGGAGCAGGGCTGCCAAATCCTAGCAGTCTGGGAAGCTGAGGTGGGAGGATTACTTGAGCTCAAGAGTTCAAGACCAACCTGAGAAAGAATGAGACCTCATCTCCACTAAAAATAGAAAAATTAGCCAGGTGCTATGATAGGCGCCTGTCATCCCAGCTATTTGGGAGGCTGGGGCAGGATGCTTGCTTGAGCCCAAAAGTTTGAGGTTGCTATGAGCTAGGCTGACACCACAGCACTCTAACCTGGGCAACAGACTCTGTCTCAAAAACAAACAAAAAAGTCCTTGTTTACCTTCTATGGATAATCAATCTTTGAATTTGGCATTTTCATTTTTACAAATCAATTAACTATTTTTCCAATTTCTTAAAATCAATCATATATTTTTATTCTGTTACTACCTGAATTTTTAAATAAAATAACAGTTACTACTTTCTCTTTTGGAATGATGGGGAAAATATTTTGATGTAAAAGACACTCATAAGACTAATCCATTCCTATAGCCTACAAAAACTACTTAGCTAAATGCTGTGGTTTGAATGTATACCCCAAGTTTCATGGTTGGAAACTTTGTCCTCACATTATATGTCAATGACATTTGAGAGGTGATTGAGACATAAGGGGTCTGGATTCATGGTTATCAACAGAGTTGGTTAGTTATCACAAGAGTGGGTCTGTTAGAAAACTGATTTGGCTGCCTCTTATGAGCACTCTCTCCTTGCCATGTAATATCCTGCACTGTCTTAGGACTTTGCAGAGAGTCCCTACCAGCAAGAAGCCCTTAACCTTGACTTCTCAGCCTTCATAACTACCAGAAATAAATTTTGTTTCTTATAAATTACCCAGTTTCATAACAGAAAACGGACTAAGACAACAAATAACTAAGAAAACCACTGACCCTAATATTCAACCTAACCCAAGTCAATAATAGGATAGCTCAGTGACAATTTGGCAGAATTGCTGGACTGTCTAACTGTCTCAAAAATTATAATCTCTCCTAGGCATGGTGGCTCACACCTGTAATACTAGCACTCTGGGAAGCCAAGGCAAGAGGATCACTTGAGACCAGGAGTTTAAGACCTCTCTGAGCAACACAGTGAGACGCTGTCACTTCCAAAAAATTGGAAAATGAGCCCGGCACGGCAGCACATATTTGTAGTTCCAGTTATTTGAGAGGTTGAGGCAGAAGAACAGATTGAGCCCTCAAATTTGAGGTTGCACTGAGCTATCATGACACCACTACACTCTAGCTTAGACAACGGTGCAAGACCATGTCACAAAAGAAAACCAAAAAAACCGTCTCTAAGAAGAAATGCATGATCTTAAATTCTATAGTTTTCAGCCTATCACACATGACATTAACCAGCCAGGCTATCTATCTATGTAGGGAGGCCACAGCATACAGAAGGAAGTAGCAAGGAAGACCTACCCAAGGAGATCTCTCATTGCAACTACACGGGATCCAACCTTATTGAATAATCAAACACTGTAATTCTGCTTTCTTAATAAAATAACACAGAAAATGGTAAAACACAGGGCCCATACTAGCCTGTCCCTAAAACAAGAGCATTCACCTTCTATCAAATCAAAGTTTTCAGGAATGTTCTTAAAGCAAATATTCTAAACACCCATTGCTGATCATGAAAGTTTAGAATAAAGTTTTTTTTGCAGTTTTTGGCCAGGGCTGGGATTGAACCTGCCACCTTTGGTATATGGGGACTGCGCCCTACTCCTTGAGCCACAGGCACTGCCCGGGGTTAGGATTCTTTCTCATGGGTGATTTGTGCAGAGATATATCTATTAAGTTACCCTACAAGACAAAGATAAAACAAGTCAAACCAGTCTCAGTTTTGACAAGGCAAGAATTTCTATAGAGCAGTATAAGAGTTAATTCTTGTTAACTCTTGGCTTGTCTTGAATGAAATGTATTACTAAAAAAGTTCAAGTGGTCTGTAATTTTTTTCTATAACCAAACTAGAACGTTAAGAGATCCAGCTGGAAGACTGTTTTTTTCTTTTTCTTTTCTCAGATTGAGGCACAAAACTTACTGGATTATACATACTCAGAGGCCCAAAATAAATATGACATGCTTTAGGGACTAAAGATTTGTGAATAAAATGCAAAATTATACCATTGTAAGCAATCCAGTATTACAACCTTACATTTAAAAAAAATCTTATATTTTATTTATTTATCTTTTGGTAGATGCACATTTCACTATGTTGCCCAGACTAGTCTCAAACTCTTAAATTCGAACGATCCTCCCACCTAGGCCTTAGAAAGTGTTGGGATTACAGGACTTTATGTTTTTAAAAATTAGGTATTTTGTGGCTTGGCACCTGTAGCTCAGTGGCTAGGGCACTGGCCACATACACTGGGGCTGGCGGGTTCAAACCCAACCCAGAGCTTGCAAAACAAATGACAACCAAAATGACAACCAAAAAAATAGCCAGGCATTGTGGCGGGTGCCTGTAGTCCCAACTACTTAGGAAGGCTGAGGTAAGAGGATCACTTAAGCCCAGAAGTTGGAGGTTGCTGTGAGTTGTGATGCCACAGTACTCTACGAAGGGTGATAGTGAGACTCTGTCTCAAAAAGAAAAAAAAAATTAGACATTTGGACCAGGAGTGGTAGCTCATGCCTATAATCCTAGCATTCTGGGAAGCCAAGGTAGGGGGATCACTTGAGCTCACGAGTTTGAGATCAGCCTGAGCAAGAGCAAGACCCCATCTCTAAAAAATAGGTGGACGTTGCGGTAAGCACCTGTAGTTGCAGCTACTTGGGAGGCTGAGGCAAAAGAATCTCTTGAGCCCAAGAGTTTGAGGTTGCTGTGAGCTATGACACCACGGCTCTCTATTAGGGCCAAGAAAGTGAGACTTTGTCTCTAAATAAATGAAAAAATAAATAATAAAAAATTAGCCATTTATTTCAACAAAGGCCTGTCAGAAAGCAACTTAGAAAAAGTTGAAGACAAGTTACTACATGTAAATTATAAAATAAAATTCCAGTAGCAGATATATTGATAACAACAATAGCTAGCTTTTATACAGTGCTCCATGAAGTAGGTACTATTAATATTATTCTCATTTTACAGGTAAGGAAACATAAGGGTTAAATCACTTGTTCAAGATCACACAGCTGGCAGTGATAGAATAAGTATCTCAACTGAGAATTCTGGTACCTGAGGCTTTATTTTAGTTACTTACTACATTCTTCTGCCTAAAGAAACTAAATTATTATATATGAAGATAACAAGATGATAAATATGGGATCACTTTGACAATCAAAGTGCTATAAAGAGCTCAAAATTTTTATTATTAAATATAGCAGCTGAATTTCTATGGCTGTTTGAAATAGCATCAAAGGAAAAAATATCTAAGACAATTCTAGGAACTCTAATCAGATGTTTATTTGTGAATCAAACTAAAATTATTAAATGGCACAGTGGAACTATCAATAAATTGATGAACTATTCCAAAACTTTAGAAAATATGTTAAGTATCGAAAAATTAAAAACTTAATGTAAAACTCATACTTGCAACCCTGGTTGCTCCCAGAACAATGGAACAGATCCTCGGATTTGTATAAAGGAAGAAACAGAATCATCTAAGTACACAACCTACAAAGAAAAATAATAGATAAATTATTTCCACAGAAAAAGTTGTATGTATTGAAAAAACCACATTTACTAAAATCTGTTCTATATTAGCTATATTTTATCTCTCATCCATAGATGTCTTATTCAAAATATCCAAAATAGGTCACTACCGATGTTTTTCTACTGAGTAATATTAAACAAAGTTATAATAAAAATATAAGCATAAGAATCACAACTTTTAAAAGGGAATTTCTCTTAAATCTCAACATTTTATACATATAACTTTATATTTCATTTAATATTTTTCTTTGGCTTTTTATATTTTTCAAAACCTAATTTGAAGCTGGGGATGTGGTCTGAATTTATAATCATATAGTTTCATAGCCAAAAATATCACAGCTACTAATTTTTACATGGTACACATATCTACCATTAAAAGAGTTGGGTTTGATTCAATTCCATGAAAAACACTTAATTTGATTAGTTCTACAAGTGAAGATTTTTAAATTCAATACCAAAACATAGCATTGACTATGCCATGCTGACCTATTTGAAGAATCATATCAAAATAAGTTTGTTGGCTCGGCGCCTATGGCTCAACCGGCTAGGGCGCCAGCCACGTGCACCTAGGGTGGTGGGTTCGAATCCCCAGCCCGGACCCGCCAAACAACAATGACGGCTGCAACCAAAAAATAGCCGGGCGTTGTGGCGGGCGCCTGTGGTCCCAGCT